GGTCAGTTTGATCCTCACGCAAATGTGCCTGCATTGTGGGTAAGATAACGTTGGGCTCCAGCTTCGCCTCCCGAGTCTGGCTCAGCAGCACCAGCGCCCTCTGCCACTGCTCGCCCTTCTCGCAAGCGCTGATCCCAGCGCTGTAGCTGATGACGTCGGGCTCCAACTTCGCCTCCCACATCTGGCTCAGCAACGCCAGCGCCCACTGCCACTGCGCGCCCTTCTCGCAGGCGCTGATCCCAGCGCTGTAGCTGATTACGTTGGGCTCCAGCTTCGCATCCGACATCTCGCTAAACAACGCCAACGCACACTGCCACTGCTCGCCTTTTCCGCACGCGCTGATCCCAGCGGTGTAGCTGATGCGGTCGGGCTTCAGCTTCGCCTCCCACATTTCGCTCAGCAGTGACAGAGCCCGCTGCCACTGCTCGCCCTTCTCGCGCGCGCAGATTCCAATGTAGTAGCTGACTACTGACCCGTGGCCTACCGACCACAAAACAAGTCCGAGATGGCACGTTGGATAAGGGCAGAGATATTGCCGAAATGCTTCAGTAATGGCGTTGGACCCGAACTTCGCCCCTGCTGTTGCTGCCTGCAGAGGCAGCGTGCTGCTGCCTGCGGCATGCTGTTGCTGCTTTATAGCCTTGCTGTGCTGTCGTTGCCTGCTGCGGACTGCTATTGGTCGCTGTTGCTGCTTGAGGCTGCAGAGTGCTCCTTCCTGGTGCCCTTGCCAGCTGACGCAACCTGCAGCTCGTGGGTGGAGCGAGGAGCGAGGAGCAATCCGCGAAGCGAGGATCGAGGGGGGAGGTGGGGAAAGCGAGAAGCGATCAGCGAGGATCGCGATACAGAAGGGGGGAGAGACGGCCGAGGAGAGAGAGAGAGAGAGAGAGAACGAGAGAGGTGGAGAGAGAGAGAGAGAGAGAGAGAAAAATAAATAAAGAGAGAGAGAGAGGGGGAGAGAGAGAGAGAGAGAGATAGCCGAGAGAGAGAGAGAGAGAGAGAGAGAAAGCTGCGAGGAGGGATATGGGAGAGCTAAAGAGGAGAGGGGAGGCAGGCGCCAGTAGCTAAGAGGGAGAAGCGAAGGGACAGGAGAGAGGTGGCATGGGCAAAGTGGAGTAAGAACAGGGGAGCCCGAAGCGAAACACCAAACGAGGAGAGAGCGGGAAGGAATGATGCGCGTGGAGCGAGAAGCAAGAGTAGCGGGAAGGGAGGCATGAGAAGAAGCCGGCACACGCATGTCTTCATGGCCTCGGCGCGCGTGTGGCCGAACATCTGGTCTCCTTCGCTCATGGGGCTCGCTTGGGTGGTCGGCGCGGCCACGGAGCTCCCTGGGGATCTTCCCTCGGAAGCCTTTGCGGGTCGGACTTTTTGGATGCCCTGGAGCCTCTCGGGGCCCACTCGGGGCCTGATTTGAGCGCCTTGGGGGCCTCCTGGGGCTTCGGGGGAGCCTCTTGGGGCCTACTGGAGGTGCTGGGATCATCCTGGAGCGGATGGCGCACAATGTCACTTCGAGATCCCTCTCTGAGGGGTCTCTTGGGGCCCTCTTGGGCGCCTCTTCGTCGTCCCTGATCGTGGTTCCTGGTGAGGAAGATTCTGGCAGGCTGCTTCCTTGTCGCCATTGCTGGATTCGAGGATTCGTCGCGACTGGCCGATTTGCTTCCGTCCGAGTCCGAGGCGGGATATCAACTGTCGACATTCGCTCCTGAGGGGGTCGTTGCGCCCTCCCTGGCGACCCAAGGGCCTGGCGAAGGGGGCGCAGGGTCGCTGGCTTCAGTGGGGGCCCGTTGGAAGCCCTTGAGGGCCCCTGCTTGCCCCATGGTGGCTGATGGTGCCGCTTACTGACGGCGAGGGGGCCCCAGCAGGGTGCTTGGCTGGACGATGCTTCGTCTGCGGGCCGTGGGCTCTTGGCTCGCGTCGCCAGCTTCCCCGCCCTCCCTCCCTGGTGGGTGTGGTGCATCGTCGGGTGGAGTCTCGAGGTCACGGCAGGGTCTCTCGAGCGCCCCTGGCCGGCCGCACCGAATGCATTGCCTAATTGTCCGTGCAGGCGAGCTGGACCACCCCAGAGGGGAGACAGCACACCATAATCTTCGACCATCCTGGCGCCATCCTGGGCCGTCTTGGGGCTCTTGGGGGCCTTTGAGGCTGTCTTGGGGAAATTCAAGGAGCCTCCAGGGCCTGCTGGAACGCTGCGAAGACAAACAAAAACGAATAGCCAACAAATGCACGTTTTCCTCGAGAATCGAAGCGGTTTAGGCATTTCGGGGCTGTCCTGGGGGGCCATTGTGGATCCCTCTCAGGGCGTCTTGGGGGTCTCTTGGGCCGTTAGGGCCGTCCTGGGTGCCTTTTCGGCCGTCGTTGGGCTCCGCTGGGCCGTATAGGGGGCGTGTCCCGAGGCCCGAAAGGCTGTCTGAGCTGGAGGAGGAGGAGGAGGAGGAGGAGGAGGAGAGCGGTACTGGAGAGGGGGGAGTGCAGTTTCCCAGAGGAGGAAGCTGAGGCAGAGACGATGGGAGAAGGTCACCCTTGTCATCCCTGTTCGGTGTGGGGGGGGGGGGTCGCGAGGCATGTGAGGCGCAGGAGAGCGAGCAGGAAGCTGAGGAAGAAAGCAGCTGTGGAGCGAGGGCGGTCTTCGGGCCCACCTTGGAGGCCCTCTGGCAAGAGCACCCATGATAGGAAACGGTCCCTCTTGCCAATCGGCGGGAGGGGGCTCGAGACGTGTGGGGCTGCCCTCGTTGGCCATCTGGGGCCCCCCTGGGCCACTCTGAGGCCCCCTGGTGCCATTCTGGGGCGCCCTTGTCCGCAGCAGCTCGTGGAGCTCCCTTGGGCCATCATGCGGCCCCCTTGAGCCACACTGGGGCCCTCTGGGGACGCCCTGGGGGCCTCCACGGCCATCGTGGGGCCACGGTGGGGGTCTTGGTCCGTGTTGGAGCTCGGTTCGTACTGGGGCCCTCTTGGGCAGCTTCAGGACCGTGTCGGGGGGCCAGCTGGAGCTCCATCAGGCCGTCTCGGACCTTCGTGGGCCGTCTCGGTGCGCTCGTCGGGGCCTCGTGGGCAACCTTGGGCGATCGTAGAAGTGCCTCGAGTCGCGCGGGGTCGTTCTGGGCTCGTCATTGGGAGAATGTTCCAAGCCATTCGAGCATACAAGACCAATGCTTGATTCTTGGCCTCGTGAGACCGTCTTCGGAGTCCTCGTGGGCCCGCTTGGGACGTCCTAGGGGCCTCTTGGGCAAGCTTGGGGCTAGGGTGGCTTGTTAGGGCCCTCATGGGCAGTTCCTGGGGCGTCTTGGGCGGCAACTTGAAGCTCTGTTAGGCTATCCGGGGCCTGTCCTGGGTCATTTTGGGGCTCTCGTTGATCGTCTTGGTGGGCTCGTGAGCGCCTCGTGGGCCATCTCGGTGCGATCCTTGAATGACCCGGAGCCGTGTGAGGCCGTTCTGGGCCTGTCATAAGGGACAACGTGGAAAACCTTGGAACATGCATGCTGTTTGCTTGTTTTTTTGCCTTGTGGGGTCGCCATCGGGGTCCTCCTGGGCCCTCGGGGGCTGTCCCTGCGGCCTTTCGGGCCATCTTGGGGCCAGGGTGGTGGTCTGGGGCCGCCTGGGGGCCGGCGTGGGCCATCTTGTGCAGCTCCTGGGGCCCTTTTGGGGGGCCACTTGGATTTTTATGAAGCTCTCCAAAACCTGTTCTGGGTCGTCTTGGGGCCCTCATGATCCGTATTGGTGGCCTCGTGAGGGCCTCGTGGGTCATCTTGGTGCGATCTCAATCTGACCTGGAGCCGAGGGGGGCAGTTCTGAGCGCGCCATGGGAAGAACGTGCAAAACCTTGGTAAATAAATTGTGTTTGTTTGTTTCTTGGACTCTTAGGGCTGTCATCGGTGTCCTCCCTGGCCCTCGTGGGCGGTCCACGGGGGCCTGTTGGGTCATTTGGGCCCAGGGTGAGGGGCTGGAGCCGCCTAGGAGCCTGGCGTGGGCCCTCTTGTGCAGTTCCTGGGGCCCTCTTGGGAGGCCCGAGGAGCCCTGAAATCGCTCCGGAGGCTCCAGGCCGCTCCAGGGCGCTTCGGGCGCTCGGGGCAGCTTCTTCATTCAAAAGCCTTTTCGCACGCGCAACGCCCAAAATTGTAGTACACATGACGTTGGGCTCCAGCTTCGCCTCCCGCATCTCGCTCAACAGCGCCAGCGCCCACTGCCACTGCTCGCCTTTTCCGCACGCGCTGATGCCAGCGCTGTAGCTGATGACGTTAGGCTCAAGCTTCGCAACCCGCATCTCTCTCAACAGCGCCAGCGCCCACTGCCACTGCTCGCCTTTGCCGCACGCGCTGATGCCAGCGCTGTAGCTGACTACTGTGAACTTGCGGATTAAATCCACGGCAAACCGTAGTTTGGATCCATACAGCAGGCCGTTCGGGCCGAGCCCTTCGTGGAGCTCGTGGAGAGGACGGGGGGAGGGCAAGAGTGTGGGTGGAGGACCTCGGATCGCCTGAGCGTGCCGCGGCACCGACTCCGTGGAGGAGGGAATACGGAAAGTTACTGTCGTGACGAGCTGCGCTGTTGCTTCTGACACCGTGTGCAACGCTCAACCCTGCACGATCGGCAACTTTGAAATCGCGAGATCGTTCACGACGGCCGATTCTGGACCAGTGTCGGCGTTGAGCCCTTGATGTCGGCGCTGAGGTCGCCGCCGCGTCGACGCGACGCGAATCTGCGCGCCCCTTCCCACTGCTCAGCGAAGAGGGCCACAAAGCTCGTTCTCAGATGGCGCGAATTGGGGCAGGCAGCGGAGAGGAGGAACGGCATGATGAGGAGGCAGAAGGGAGCGAGCGTTCCGGAAGGCGCGGAGATGCGCTCCCTCTGCCTCGGGCGCGGCCCAAACGACCCACTGCGTGACGGGCGCTCCCGCGACGACCTCCCCGCTCGGGAGGCCCGCCTCTGGCTGCGTGCGTGAGTTTTGCAGTGAGGCGAGGAGGCCGCCACGGGAGAGCGCTGGTCCGCTGGAAGTCGGTGGGGCCGCCCCTGAGCCACGTCCCGTCGGGCTGTGAGCGGGGCGCCCGGGTCCTCCACCGTGGCCGGGCACCAGTACTCCGCAGTGGCGTTCCTGCTGAGGCGCACGCTCCGCACGTGGCCCTGCACCACCTCGCCGACCTTCGGGGCCTCCTGGGGTCCTGTCTGGGTCCTCGGGGCCCACTCTTCGGATCGTTTGGGGCGTCTTTGGGGGCATCTTGGGTCCTTCTGCGAGGCTGTCTGGGGCCTCTGGAGAGCCTCTTGCGGTATTTTGGCCTCTGCAGCCCTTCCTGGGCTGTCCCCCAGAGCCTCTTTCGGAGGATCGCCCGGGAAGCTTGTTTTGGTATTGCCTTGGACCCTTCCTGGGGCGCCCTTGGGGCTCTCAAGGGCTCTGTGGGGATT